GGCTGCTTCAGCCGCGGTGGGGGTTCGCTTCTCTAGGATTGAGGGTTAGAATAACATGTTGTACAGAACATGGGAAGACGTGGAGTCGTGGAGGGACATGAAGAGGCTAGTCCAGGACAGGGAAAGGTGGAAGGTGTTTGTCCGTGGCCTATACCCTGGTGCAGGGTGAGAAAGTGTTTGTCCCTGGCCTATACCCTGGTGCAGGGTGAGAAAGGCAGTGATGATAATGAGAATAATGGTGATAATAATTGCCTTTCTAGAGTGTGTATCCAGGCTCTGCATTTACATTATTACTTATTAACAACTCTTTCCATCCATTCTTCTGTTTTAGTTTTAGAAGTATCCCTTGTCGTCTGAACTTGTCCCAGATTTGTGTTGTACCGTTTTGTAACTTCCCCATCCTATCTGACCTCCCGCAGGTGACCTCGTGCGAGCGAGAGAACCGCCAGCAGAGCGAGATGATCTCGGCGTACGCGGCCGACAAAGACAACCTTGAGAGCGCCCTCTACGAGGCGCAGCAGCAGGTGAGGGAGTTGGAGGTGAGGCGCGCACAGTTGGAGGGAGAGAACCAGGAGCTCATCGTCAAGAAGGAAAATCTACAGTGTGAGTACCGTGGACTAGGTCAAAGTGTGAGTAGATCTATGGGTGGAAGAAAATCTACAGTGTGAGTACCGTGGACTTGGTCAAAGTGTGAGTAGATCTTTAGACGGACATCGTCAAAGTGTGAGTAGTTCTTTAGACAGATATCATCAAAGTGTGAGTAGTTCTTTAGATGGACATCGTCAAGGAAAACCTACAGTGTGAGTAGATCTTTAGATGGACATCGTCAAGGAAAACCTACAGTGTGAGTAGATCTTTAGACGGAGCAGATAGAACATTTGGTTTTTCACCTCATGGTCTCAGTCAGTCAAAAGGAACAAAATGTCAGATAGAACCTTGTAGGTCTGAGGTAGTGCTTGTCTTATTGAGTGAGAGCTGGCTCCACTGTAGGTCTGAGGTAGTGGTTGTCTTATTGAGTGAGAGCTGGCTCCACTGTAGGTCTGAGGTAGTGGTTGTCTTATTGAGTGAGAGCTGGCTCCACTGTAGGTCTGAGGTAGTGGTTGTCTTATTGA